TTTTTTTTTTTTTTTTTCTTGGAAACTTCTTCTTCACTTGCCTTTCTCATTAACCCAGTAGTTTTCCACAGCCTACTGACGTCAGTGACTTTTATGTCATTAATTTCAGTGGAAGCAGGATGTGGTCCAGTAAATTATGCCCCAGCAGGGTCTACATTAGACCATGGGAATAGTGAAAAGAAAGCTCTGTATGAACTTCACTCTTTAAAATATTCATTCCTGTGTTTGCAGTGTAAGTTACTGCTGTTCCTTCAGCGTTCAAAAGGTTTCTCAAATTATCTGAAAGGCTCTCTCCAATAAACAAGCTTGCTAAGGGAATATAGTCACCATCGAACCCCTTACAGACATCATAAATATTGGGGAAAAACACCAATCATCCTGTGAAGTTATTTAGGCATAACTGCAGCAAATTTATTGATCACCACTGTATGAGTCATTTTAATATTGCTTATAAATCCTTTGGCCCACCTGAAAAAGGCAATATTGCTGGATATTGGGGCCTGCAGCTGAACTCCTAGGAACAAAAAAATCCAAGAGAAAAGTTCTTGCATGTCACTTGTGGCCTCCTCAGCTCTGTTATTCCTCTACTTTGAATCAACTCCTGCCATCATTGGTGTCCTGCTTCTCATCTTCCATTCCAACCGTCCCCTGAGCTTTCCAGAGTCAACACGCTTTGCTTTCTAGAATCTGTAGTACTTTCCCAAGACCAAGTTGACTTGGCAGCTATAACAGGGTAGTCCACTTTTCCTTGTCATTAAATGCCAGGGTCTGGGAGCAAATTTGGGTTGCAGAGAAGTCCAACAGACACACACAAATTACATTAGATGAGGACCTTGTTATCAAGGTCTGTAGAATGTTCTGGGACCTGGTCTCTGCAACACCACATGCCAAGCCTGATTTTTTTTTGTATTCTTATGACTTTGCTCTTGATCTTGGATCTACACCACACTTTTTGCTCCCTATCATAATTCCACTTAAGCTAATTTGGTTTTACTTTGGCATTCTTTAATATCCAAATTACACATGATCTCTGCTGTATTCTCATGAATACCAAAGCTGTAGGATAAATATTGTTGACGTTTGTTGGCAAAGTGCTTTTATACTTGGATTCCTCATTAAATTACATTCAATTTTAGTTTTAATGAGTGTAATCCGTTTGATACTGTTGACCCAAATCCCCCTGAGGAAAACTGCAGTTCTGAATTGCTTTTTGCATGTCTGAGTCGACTGAGTCACATTCAAAACCATGTCAGACTTCAAATCTCAAAAAAACCTCCTGTTCCAGAATCAAGCTAAGGGCTGGGACTAAGTTATATTCCAGAAATGTATTCCTGCAACGCTTCATGCCTCTTGCTGTGCTTTAATCTTGTCCCTGCCCTGCCTTATGTGACACTTTACCCATCTGCACCCTATCTCTGTGAAGACCTTAGGAGAATAACCACCATCAGGAAGCAGGAGCACCTTTCTAAAACTCATCCTCGGGTGCCTTTTCTGAAATCATATTTCTTCTCCCTGTCACGCTCCTTAAATCATTTCTCTTCTGCAATAAATTGTTATTTCTCTCCCTGTTAGAATTCTTTCCTGTCATTCATCATGTTATGAGTACATTTTGCCTGAGAACAGGAAAAAAATCCCGGTAGATTTCAGGAAGCCTTTAACTCTTTTCCTTTCTCGCGAATCAGAAAATAGAGAATTCCACCCAGAGAGCTTCTTTGGGAGAGTTTCATTGATTTGTTTGTTTCAAAGTTTTGGAGTGCCTTAAAAGAAATGGGCTATTGGAAAGATGGAATTATCAGTGCTGTGAGTGTTTCAGTTTGATAAATAGTGTGCCTGGGTAAGAAAGCTTTTGAAATTTTTCTCGAATTTGGTCTGAAAATTATTTAATAGACAACAGGGACCTTGGAAGATTCTGGAGAGGAAGTGGCTTTCTCGAGTCATTGCAGAAGATCAGTAGGGGGTTCAGAGCAGGAGTTTATGATTTTGTTTGACCTTTGATCAAGCTCGCTGGGTCCTTGTTCTCACGATGACAGCACATGCTGAGGTTCTGTAGAGATGATGCAGTCTTCAAACTTGTGTACAGTGTTCCTTTGTGGGGAGGCATGGGATTAACCAGGGAAAATAGGTGATGTAAATGTGCAGGTCCAAAAACGATTGCTTGCACAGCAATTGCTGAGAGGTAAGGATCAAGCCGTGAAGCTTCCTCGTCTCTTTGTTAAGGTCTTTGTGATAACTAAGAAAAAAAACAATATACTTGCGGACTCAGGTCAGTCAGCAGGGTGAATTTGTACGTTTTTTGTCTGGTACTGCTGAGAAATACCACGGAAGGTCTTTAAAAACAGGCCATAAAAATGCGCATTTAGAAATAGTGATTCTGCTTTGGTGTTAGGGAATGAAGGGGGGGCTTCCTTATATCCTTCTGAGCTCTGTTTTCTAGGATTCTAAATTCCAAGGTGCGTCCTCAGAGTGACTCTCTACCTCTGTATTTTTGGATAGGAGGAAGTGGTATCACATACAACCATGGCAGAGCATGTACTTGTCTCAATCCTTTATT